CAAGTGTTGGAGTTGGGATCAAACACATTATCAGGAAATATTCCTTCATTTATAGGAAACCTCACTCAAATAAACGAACTCTTTTTAGAGCATAACAAGTTACAAGGAAGTATTCCCGCAAATATTGCAGGCCACCAATATCTTCAATATCTCGACTTTTCTTACAATGGCTTGAGTGGTGCTATCCCCAAAGAGGTCTTTAGTCTTTCCTCCTCTGTCATACTAGACCTCTCAAAAAACTCATTTACTGGAAGCCTACCTGAGGAAGTGGGCAATCTAGAAAGTGTCAGTGCGCTCGACCTCTCCGAAAACAATCTCACCGGTGAAATCCCAAAAACCATTGAAGGTTGTGAGAGTCTAGAATCCCTTTCCCTAAGTGGGAATTCCTTTCAAGGAACCTTGCCTTCTACTTTGGCATCTCTAAGAGGTCTTCAGTACTTGGATCTTTCGAGGAATAACTTTACAGGACCAATTCCAAAGGATTTAGAGAAACTTACTGCATTGTTGAGTTTGGATCTTTCTTTCAATGATCTCGACGGAGAAGTGCCAAGAACAGGTGTTTTCCAGAACATAAGTGCAATATCAATAGCTGGAAATAATAAACTTTGCGGTGGTGTACCTGAACTGCAGCTTCCAGCTTGTCCAATAAAAGAATCCAAAAGGAGAAAAATCAACGGTCGAAAACTAACAATCACCACGGTTTGTGTAGGAGTGGTTCTCCTTCTATTCTCGGTTTTGGCCATTTACTATCGGAGGAGGATAAGGAAATTGTCTCCTACACTCTCTACAATCAATTTTCTTTCAAAGGTTTCATACAGAAGTCTTTATCAGGCAACTAATGGATTCTCCCCAAGCATGTTGATTGGAACAGGTAGCTTCGGGTCTGTATATAAAGGAATTCTTGGTCAAGAAGAAAATCCCAAAGCAATAAAGGTCCTCAATCTCCAACAGAAAGGAGCTTCCAAGAGTTTCATTGCTGAATGTAATGCACTAAGAAATATCCGTCACAGAAATCTTGTGAAGATATTGACATGTTGCTCTAGCATGGATTATAATGGCAATGAATTCAAGGCTTTGATCTTTCAGTACATGTCAAACGGAAGCCTAGAGAGGTGGCTCAATCCGGTGACGTCCAATGATGAAACTCAGTCCACGAGTTTAAGCCTAACTCAACGACTAAATATTGCCATCGATGTGGCTTCTGCAGTTTGTTATCTTCATCATCATTGCGACCAACCGATCATCCATTGTGACCTGAAGCCTAGCAACGTGCTTCTTGATGAGGAAATGATTGCCCATGTAAGTGATTTCGGAATAGCAAGGTTGATCTCAGACGACATTAACTCCTCTGAAAGTCAAACTAGCACAATTGGAATAAAGGGAACCATTGGCTACGCCCCTCCAGGTACATAACATCATTGAAATGTTAATTAGCTTAATTTTATTAATTTTCTAAACTTTTGTTGTTGACTAAGAAATACAGAAGTCATAATCTTGTACATTTGCCTTTTGTTTCACTTTTTTATCAAGTAACTGCCCTCCTTTATTTATTTATACATGTGTGGTGGTGCGTCATTGATGAACAATGCTCCCATTCAATAATATTTTTGTATTGATTATATTGTGATTGGTTAAATTTAATACGTCTAAATAAAAAAATTTATTATTTTTTTTTTATGAGTTACAGAGTATGCCATGGGTGGTGAGCCATCAAGAGAGGGAGATGCGTATAGCTATGGAATCCTCATATTGGAGTTGTTCACTAGAAGGAGACCTACTGATGAAATGTTCAAAGACAATTTCAATCTTCATAATTTTGTTAAGATGGCATTACCAGAGAAAGTGGTGCAAGTTGTGGACCCTACTCTTGTTCCTCGAGAAGTAGAAGAAACAACAAGAAGAAGAGGAGAAGAAGAAAGAAACTGTAACAAGAAGTGCTTGGTTTCAATCTTGGACATCGGACTTGCCTGTTCAGAAGACTCGCCAAATGAAAGAATGAACATGGAAGATGTGATCATGAGGCTACAACGCATTAGAAATGCTTTCATTGGTGAAAGAAACATCTAAGGACAAAATTTTATTGCTTTTTTTCATACTATATTACATCTTTTACTTCCAAATTGAGAAACAATCTAACTAGTGTCTAACTGCAGGAACTTGAAGCTTTCTGAAAGAGAATCGGTTGGTGAAGACTTTTATTTTGTGTAAGCTGTATTTGGAATGAGCTTTTGCATCTACACTTGTACCAACTCTCGTATGGTTACTCTGTTTTACTCTCTTTTGATATGCTTATCAAATAAATGTCTGTTGCACAGACGCATATTCCATGTCTAAATTTTACTGATGCTACTGAACTTCACTTTACTATGTAGCTTCTACTTTTTATTATGTAATATGTGTATATACTACTTTGAAAAGTTCTATACTCGTACGGACCTGGTCCATGTACGGTAGGACTTTATATGCATAGTGTATGGTTGTAATCGTTGAATCTGTGTGTGTTTACTAAATGTATTTTCTTATCTTATATAAAAATAAAACAGTTCTTTAGAAATATCCGAAAAAGATAATTGATTTTGATTTTGAACTGTATATCCTTAAGTGAAATGCTAGTTTTATCATTAAATTATCAAAAATTAAAAAGGTAAAATTAAGTTGGTTAATATGCTTAAAAGGTACTCCCTTGACTTGTACTCTTGTAACATTTTACTTTTTTTTTTTTTTTTTTTTTTTAAATGTAACATCATTTCTCTTGAATATGGCGTTAACAAAAATCCCCTCTTCCCCCAAATAAAAAAAAAATAAATCTTCTTCACTTCCGATGACACAATAAATCCTCCACCTTACAAATATAGTTCCTTTTTTCTTAAAAAATGGTTTTGATTGAAAATAGATACTTGGATAAATTTCATAGCTGGTACTCCATCAACATCGTCCAGATTGTATAGAAAGTATGAATAATTGGTATTTTGTAATTCCTCACACTGCCAATAACCACAAATTGAAAACTTTTGGCCATAAAATAACTCGCAGGATTGTACAAGAGCATGATTAAAAATCAGTTCTCTTTCCTTTGCTCGCTTTTCATTTTTGCAACTTAAGAGCAAATTTTTTTTTAAGAAATTCTCTTTTGCTTGGAACGTCATTAATTAGCTATTTAAACCAATATGGATGCTTCACATGTGAGTTTCTCCTGGTTATTAAAAGGATGTTAAAATTTAATAATAAGAACAAAATCTAAATAGCAAATGCATTACCTCCAACTATTTAGGAAAATTCTTTGATGGGATAACGGTAGAATAAGTTTTTTTAACCATTCAATTAAATTTTAATGTTATGATTTATGAATTTGATATAAAGTACTCCAACTCATAAATCATACCGTTATCAAATGGCTAAAATGCAATTACTCCATGGATAGGGCAAAACAATGTACTCTGCTGTCAAATTTTCCAATATCTAAAGGAAACGTAAAACCAACTCCAACTCTTATGTGAAAAGAAAAATAAAAAAGAGGAAGAAGAATAGCCCAGGTGCAACTGGTTGAAAATAAATTAAGGAAGTAAATATATTGGTGTGAATTAAAGAATAAATATGAGACTTAAGATAACATTAAAGATCAATCATTAGACGAGACACTGAGATGGAAAATCTCTGTTGGACAATCTATCATGTAAGGCTCTTTTGGGTCACAAAAGCTAGAAATGGATCTTTGGGATACTTAGGTCACCAACGGCAAGCACTGACCTTTGGACATGGACGTAGGTTTCGAGTTACCAAAAGTAAGCGGATGGATTTCATTGGCTATTTGTTCATCACCCATTCATCTTGACAAGTCAATTTGAAAACCTTCCAAACGGGATGAAAACCAACGTCTGACCAAGGATAAATGGGCCATACAATTACTTAAGTTTAGCGCGATTTAGGTCCATGTCATGCAATTACCTATGTTTTACCAAATCACAGCCCATAAAATGTTCCTCAGCGTGATCTAGGTTCATGGAAGTAACCCATTCGTGTCTATCGACGAGACGATGGCCTGTGTTAGAAATAGTGTCTTAAAAATATGAGATGTAATATGATATTTATTATTTATTTAATAAAATAATTTATTTATTATTTTATATGCATATATTATTAAATATTTTATGAATATTATTGAAAATTTCATGATTATTTATGTGACCTTTGTTGATACCCCAAAAATCGCAAGGTACGGATTCGGCCCAAGCCCTATAACACAACTCAAGGTATGGTATGTGGACCCAACCCACGCATTGGGGACTTCTACGTGGGCCGTGGTTTGGTAGACCAAGTAATGTAAACGAGCCCATTTTATCCGGCCCAATTAGACCCTTGGCTCACTTGGTAGGCCTCAGGTCTATGAGGAATTTAGGCTAATGTCGGTTATGGAGGAAATTAGACAGAGTAAAACAAATTACCTAAGTTTACAGTTACCACTTTTACAGTTCCAAACCTTTTATAAATAGTCTAGAAAAAGCCTATTGGTCCATTACCTTGCACTAAAAGACAAAATGACATTTTTCCCCATATCTTTCATTTTTTCCTCTCATTTCCCTTTCCCTCCCAGAGGTCAAACGCGGCCTCTTCCCTAAAATCATAAAAAGGACAGGTAAGCACAAGTGAGGAAGAGCAAACTCTTAACCCCTTGGCTACCTCTTCTGGCCTCACCTGAAATAACCAAGAGAGCTCCCAACTAGACACTCACCTGTGGAACTGAACTTCATATGGTATTTTGATCTTTATGCTATAGGTTTTCTAGATCGATAAATTTTTTTTTTAAGAAACACACAAAAATAAATAAATAAATAAATAAGCATTCATGCAATTATATTGGCTACAGAAATTTCTCAAATACTGAAATCACGGATACATTTTTCTTAAGTTTACTTGACTTTAGAGTCAACAGTGCATCCCTACTTAAGCTTTAAAGGTGTGTTTGGAGGATCATGGGTACCCTGGTTTGTGTTCAAACAGTATTTTTTGTTTTCAATTTAAAAATTCTGCTATAGTATTTTCACTCAAAAAATTTGAATTCTAATTCAAACTACGTTCCAAATGGGGCTTAAAAGTTTACTTGGGTAATTCCGTCCATTAATAGTGCAGTGTCGTAAAAATCAACGTACTCAGTTTTGTCATATATATGGAGACTTTAAAACATCTTATTCTGCCATCAGTTTGCCATTCAAGCAATCAGTTTGCCTGCAAAAATTCACTCATTGCCACGAAAAATGAACAATTTTCATCAAAATCTCAGTTCTTCATCTTCTTTTCGGTCCATTTTCCTCCATGTCATTCTTTTTTATTCCGTCACTCTTTTGCAGCCTACTACTAATACTCTTGTCACTGCATTAGGCAGCAATGAAACTGATAAGTTGGCTTTGCTCAAGTTCAAAGAATCGGTGGATGATCCGAACGGCGTCCTCAACTCGTGGAATGATTCCAGCCACTTGTGCAACTGGCATGGAATTTCATGCGGCAAGAGGCATCGGAGGATCACAGGCTTGAACTTGGAGGGCTCCAACTTGCGAGGAACTATCTCGCCTTACGTAGGCAACCTTAGCTTTCTAAGGCTCTTTAATCTCGGAAACAACCTTTTCTCGGACGAAATCTCTGCACAAGTTGGTCGTTTGTTCCCGTTGCAAAGTCTCAATCTCAGCCACAACATGTTGGAAGGTAATATCCCATTCAACTTGAGCTATTGTTCGGACCTCAGAATATTGAGTCTCGGAAATAACAATCTTACTGGAACAATTCCAATAGAGCTTGGCTCTTTGACGAAGCTTGTGGAACTTAATCTTGATTCGAACAGTCTCACAGGAGGCATCCCAGCTTCCTTGGGGAACATCTCATCACTTAATGTACTTTCTATGCGGTATAACAAGTTGGTGGGAATTGTTCCACATGATTTAGGCAGATTGAAAGGCTTGACAGATTTCCACATATCTGCTAATAATCTGTTTGGAACTATCCCTTTATCCCTTTACAATATATCCGCCATTGAATATTTCTTTATTTCCTATAACAAATTTACTGGCACTCTTCCTTCCAACATTGCCCAGAAACTCTATAATCTCCGGCAGTTCAGTATTAGTGGTAATCAATTTTCTGGGATAATCCCGGATTCCTTTTCGAATGCATCTCAGCTTCTATTACTTGACATTTGTCATAATGACATCGTTGGCCAAGTTCCATCTAGTTTAGGAAAACTTCGAGATCTTCAATGGCTCAATTTGGGTAATAATAGTTTAGGAAGTTATTCAACTAGTAGCTTGGATTTCATTACTTCTTTAACAAATTGCAGCAACCTGACAATGTTAGACTTCAGTTACAACTCTTTTGGAGGTGTTTTACCCCACTCTATAGCCAATTTGTCAACAAAACTCACAAGACTTTACCTTGGATACAATCAAATATCGGGAATATTCCTGCAACACTAGAAAATCTTGTCAACTTAATTGTCTTGGGCATGCTGGATAATCTCTTCAATGGGGTCATCCCACCCTCTTTGGGAAGGTTGACAAAATTGCAAGTGTTGAATTTGGGAACAAACAAATTATCAGGAAATATCCCATCATCTATAGGAAACCTCACTCAAATATACGAACTCTTTCTACCGCGCAACAAGTTGGAAGGAAATATTCCTCCAAATATTGCAGCTTGTCAAAATCTGGAGTACCTTTACATTTCCCACAATGGCTTGAGTGGTGCTATCCCCAAAGAGGTTTTTAGTATTTCCTCCATTGTCGAACTACGCCTCTCAAACAACTCATTTACTGGAAGCCTACTTGAGGAATCGGTGAATGATCGACCTCTCCGAAAACAATCTCACTGGTGAAATCGCAAAAACCATTCAAGGTTGTGAGAGTCTAGAATCCCTTTACCTGAGTGGGAATTCCTTTCAAGGCACCTTGCCTTCTACTTTGGCATCTCTAAGAGGTCTTCAGTATTTGGATCTTTCGAGGAATAATTTTACAGGACCAATTCCAAAGGATATGGAGAAACTTACTGCATTGTGGAGCTTGAATCTTTCTTTCAATGATCTG